GCTGTTGGGCTCATTTACCGCCCCCTTGTTTCCCCCTCTCTTACACAGTGCTAGCCATGTCCTATAGTGGTACCGTTCCCATCCCATCTTAGCACTGGGACAGCTGCTGGAAAGTGTTCACAAGTCACGGGTTAATTGGCACACGAGGAAACCAGCCTGCGCTCGGCCCCTGTGGGGAGAAGGGGGGTCTGTGTGCACAGGCTGGCCAGCACCTGCAGGCTGTGCTGTGAGTGTCGCTGAGGCCATCGCAGGTGACCCGGGGGTAGGGGTCTTTGCACATCGCTGTTTTCGCGGGGCTTTGACGGCTACAGGACCCTCTGCTTAATCAGTGGAATTCTGGACTCTGACTTTGATGACTCAGCAGCAGGGTCCTAGTTGCCACCTGTGCTGTGTGGGCTGTTGGCACGTGGGGGACTGTTGGTGCCCCAGACTGGTGGGCATTGGTTGGCGGTGCCCGTCTGCTTCCTTGCTGTCCCTTTTCCCTGTGGCCTTTTGGTCTACTTTGACCAGCCCCTCACTGCTTCTGATCTTCTGTGGTTTTTTTTTTTTCTTTTTTACTTGGGCAACATTTAAGATTTCTACGGTGCTCTGGTGGCGTAGTGGCCAAGGCATTTGGCTGCTAACTAGAAGGTTGATGGGTTGAGCCCATTAACTGTTGCATGGAAGAAAGATGAGGCAGTCTGCTTCTGTAAAGATTTACAGCCTTGGAAACCAAGTGGGGGTCGCTATGAGTGGGAATCGACTCACTGGCGGCAATGAGTTTGGTTTTGGTTTGTGGTGGAATCGGCAAGAGGTCATCTTCAGTTTCCCACTCTGTCATTCTGATACGATAGTGACAGCAGGATGGACCAGCCAGGAACAGAGTCAAGCTGTGCAGAAGGGATTTGGTAAGGGTTATTTAAGTGGGCCTGGACAGGTGAGGTGAGAGCTCTAGGGGCAAGAGAGCTGGCAGCGGGGCCTTGAGGAAGTAGTTCAGATTCTGTGCCCTGGGACGAGGTTCCACTTGGGGAGAAAGGCAGTCGAGGGGGCTCCTGGGCTGTCTGTCCCAGAAGAAAGTCAGATGGCTGAGGGGACTGCTTAGGGCCGCAGGGTTCTCTTTCAGGTAAGGGTCCTTGGCCATTACCCTTGAGCCTTGGAAATGCATTGTAAATTCTTGTTAATTACACTGTGATGTGGGAAATCAGAGACAAACTTCCTTTCTTTTGAGTTGCTGATTTCTTTTGCTCATCTGCTTACCACGAGCACTCCTTCCTTTCTACCCATCAGTGAATTTTGAACGCTCTGGTTTTATAATGTACTCGGTGATGCTGTCGCTCATGTAGTCTCCTGTATGATGAAGGGGCTGATATTATAAGGCACTTGATTCATTGGAACTTTAATTGTCAAACGTTAAATGCATGATAAACCACCC